CCCGGTAATGGCTATCGTTCACCCATCCTGGCATCTCTCATCGCTATAGCTCTCTAGATGGGTCGACGCGCCGATGGAGGGAAAAAAGTGTAAAGTGCCCCCCCCCCTTCGGTCGCCGAACCGCAAATCTTGTCACTTTATTCTCAAACTCATAACTCGATATCGCGTAGCTAAGGGAGGGGATGGGAGGGCATGGTTGCGCACGTTGTTTGAATGCGGCAGCGGCTATTTTTTATGGTTGGTTTTGGTGGAACATTGACATTTCGCAATCATTCTCCGTCCCGGCACAGAACCGGGTCACAGTTATCTCAGTTCAGATAGATACATCCCATAACAACGCATCCTGTACCCTGTTTATGTGCGCAACCACGCCCTCCCAGAGCATGTACGGTGTTTTGTTGATGAGGATGATGTTTTATTCCAGCAATCGACGTCGTCGGGTCTTCGCATGCTGTTCGCATCACGAAAAGGTGCCCTTGATGCCTTCGAAGTTGCTAAGCCGGCAATGAGTCACACCTTTGCTAAACTTCTTCATTGCTTCTCTAAAATCATCGGTTTGTTTGTTGTTTAAACACTTCACCGACTAAGTTTCGGTAATATAGCACCCTTTCGATAGCATCGCACCCAAGGTTAAAGAGTGGTGGCTGGCATCTTTTTTTGAAATTTTGTGGAGGCTCGTAAAATTATTTTTCGTTACATTTTGCTGATTCAAAACAGAAACTGCTTATTGAAGGAAATGACGTGAAGGCCATAAGAAGCAAAAAAGCTGAGTCATTTTTACTGCTCTAATTATACCCAGAATGTTTTGTCGAATATACTGGGATAGTTGGAGCAAAGGTACTTGGAAAGAGGTTATCACAATTTTGCGCAGGGCTTTTTTCAAGCCTTAGGCGTCGCTCCCGTTTTGAACAACAGTTACAGCTAGAAAGTGCGAAACAGTTGTGAGCCGGAGGGATGAGGTTCCCGCCCACCAAGGCGCTCGGGAGTGGGTAGACTGCTCGTGTCTTGTAGCTTTTTTGCTTCATAGGCTCAGGGAAAAGTTAAGGGCTGAAAGGATCCTTGTGATAGCTTTCATAGTATTGTGTCAAATAGCAGACTTCATGGTAGAGGAGACAAAAAAACATTCTTAACATTTTATGCTATTATAGAATCAATGGTTGCAGAAAATAGCCCAGTATATTGCGCCAGTGCTAAAGTAGTATAGTCTCCTTTGCTGCGGGTGGGTCATGTTACAAGTGAAGGGCTTGGCGCTATGCCAAACTGGTTTCCAACCAATTGTTGAAGCGTACAAGCGACAAAACTACGATATCGTTTTTATCGTCGTTTTTCAAAATTTATTGTAGCCTACCTGCTTCAACAACTGGTGGGAAACGGGTTTGGCACGGCGCCATACACATCCCTTCTGACACGCCCCAAACGGTACTGAACTCACCTGTTTGTGCTACCACAGTATTTCAGGAGAATCTGAGTTAGTCCTGTATTGCGCATTCATGATGCTGGAGTTCCACATTGCTGATAAGCAGAGGTATGATTCTGTCCATACTACTTCCATATAGGCGTAATATATCGCGCTGGAGACGTTGGCACTGTTTCCCCTCTCAATTCTCTGCTTTCAAAGACGGTAAAAATCACTTATGGGGGAGGGAGTATTGCATATCCTGGCCACGAGTAAGTGTTATTATATTACAGTGTTATTATTCCCGTTTTCGCGAGTCGTTCGGCAACAGCTCAGGCTCAACTATAAGCCTAGCTCAGGCCAAATTCGCGCCATGTTCAGAAATAGATATCATTTTTGTGCCGAGGAGCTCATTCTACCTCCAGACTAATTTCGAACTAAATGGAGCCCTGACTTCGTAAAGCAGAGCAGTAAAGGGTAAACAGCGTGATTTTCATATAAAACGCCGTACCTTGAACGTAACCCTATGAAATCATGTGGTTATGAATTATGATATTGAGGTTCAACAATTTGAAGCAGTCGATGATCGATGGGAGGATTTTCCCAGTGCAGAGCACTTTTGTAAAAGTGAGTCTCGTGATGTAGGTGTTGTCTTTTAGTTGCAAAAATGACTATTGCAGAGCAACGGACAACGCATTTTCGAGACAGTATATATTTCATCTGCTGAAGATGTATCCGACGCTAGTGAGGTTGAAGTTGTGCGATTAGGCCTTCCAAGGCTCTGGGGTGAGCAAAATCTGAAGCACTGCGTCTTACAATTCCAAAGCACATTTCAGGGTTGCAGTGGACGTGCCTGTTGTCTTGCTCATTTCTATGTTTCCTCGCACTCCTT